TATTATTTTAAAGCCTCAGTGAGAAATCCATTCACTTGCTAGTAAACACTGCGAATACATCCGATTGATACGAGTCTGAAAGTTAGGAGAAAAATTGCTTCGTAAAATTCCATCACCAGCTGTGATTAATAACTTTATTTATTTCATGCACTTGAAATTTACTAGTTCAAAAAAAGCTCCACCTTTATTCGTTGATCAAATTTTCTTATGAAGAATATGAAAGATAAACGACTTATCAAAATTTATTTATCAATAAATTTTAGACAGTGCATGGTACTTCCTTTTTTATATCTAATACTGATAGAATATTCAGATAATACACAAATCATATGGGTACCTGTAGGATAAATATACTACTGAATATATTCATTTGTTCAATGGTGTAACTAATCGAATATTGAACAAAATAAAGTTGACCGCTTTTGCGCTACATACTGATATTACATTTTTAGTTTCTTCTTTTCATTTTTTAAATGGGGTATAATATTATCACTGAGTAGCTTTCAAATTTCAGTGTGACTTCTCAGTGTTTTACTTTGTTTTATTACAGTATTAAACAGATTAGTCTAGAGGTACATATTTCAAATTTGAAAAAGATAATCGATTTTATTTGCTTATCTAAATATATAGGAAACATTTATATCTCGATACGAATTTAAAACAAACAACAAAAGTTAGTGAAGCAGGATTTAATGAATTCATCAAATTTCGGTATAATTCTTCTGCCGAATGGTCTATATACAGGGATATATATATATGTATATAATATTAGAAATACATTGGGTGATATAAGATTGATAAGCAAATAAATGACATTAAATTAATCATGCAAAAGGACACGTGTGAATATTTTTCAGGTCATGTTCAAATAGTGTGAAATATTCCCATATCATGAATTAAAAGTCAATCTGAACGAAGAATATTCTTTTCAGTAATTTCTCTTCAGGTTCTTACAATTATAAAATATAATATTTGCTGTCGTTACAATAATGGCCAGTTATGCGGCGGACACATGTTTTTATGGAAAATAACAGATTAGTTATGGGGTGTCAAAAATAATTAGTCATATTTGTGTGACAAACATCGTGCTAGGCTGAAGTCGATTACGTAATATTGCAAGATGGGAGACAATGGTGATGAGTAGTCATAATGGATTTGTAGAGTGTGGGGTAAGAAAATTGACAAGTCAGTTCAAGGTTATAAAAGGTGTCAGGTGAGTGACAGGCTAGTACAAAGTGGTATGTATTAAACAGGAGGAGATAGTAAGACTGCAATGAGAGATTCATCATGAAATAACGAATGTGTGAAATGAAACAGGTGGAGGCACACATTGAGAAAAGAGATAATATCACTAATAAGTCCGGAGAGTATAAATGGAACATTCGATAGCATTGAGAGAATGTTTGCATGAAGGGCATAAATTATGACGAATAGTAATAATAATTGTAATAATAAGCAAAGGGAAAAAAACCAAGCGGTTTAAGAGGAACAAGCACTCTTGGTGAGAAGGAGAATCATCAATTCAAGTTTGGACACTGTAGGAACAGCGTCTGGACGTGTCCTTTTTGGGTACAAAGTTCCAGTTTAGTCGATCTTATTGCAACAGCTTCAGGTATGTGTAGGAGACGTAAGCGAACTGTACGTGATAACGACTTTGGAATTCGGTATATAACCCTGAAAGCTGTGTTGACGTCGATGCCATGTCCAGTATTGACCAAGTGTGACAGGATCGAGCTTTTTATGCACTTAATTTCCCTCTCTGCTTACAATATTTTGTAATCAACTTCAGCCTAGCACGTCTGTCACAAAAATACGACCATTGATTTTGACACCCCATAACTAATCTGTTATTATACGTAAAAAATGTATCCGCCGCATAACTGGTCATTATTGTAACGACAACAAATATTATATTTTATAATTGTAAGAACCTGAAGAGAAATTATTGAAAAGAATATTCTTCGTTCAGATTGACTTATAATTCATATTCAAATAGATATGGGAAAGGAGTATGAGAGAATAAAATTAAGATGAAATACATTACTCTTCAATTTTTCATCACTTAGAGAAACAATTAGTCATCAGACAAAGAACTTCATCCTATCAGGAATTGCGAATTGAGTAATATTATTAATAATAGTAATAATAATAGTAGTGTTGAAACAATTAAAGATATTGGTACTGATAAAAGATAGTTTCAAATGAATCAGGAATAATAATAATAACAAGAGGTAGAATAAAGTGTTAATGAAATTATTATTATTATTAATAATGATAACAGTTAATAAGTAAAACTTATTGTCATGGTAGATTCAGAGTGACACCATCTCCTTCTTTACACAGAAACCTGGTTTATAAACTCGAATTGCGCAAGTCTTTGACATTACAAGCATTTTCCTGTTTCTTTTTCGGCTGACAACAGTGACTGACTTGACAATGTCGATTTCATGTCCATGCTTTGTTATTGAACTTTTTGTCACTTTGAATTCAGCTAATTTCACCCCTGTTTTGACAAATGCTCCATCATGCGAGTAGACAATCGCCTTTCTGTACGACCTATTTATTTGTTTCTACAAAACAAATTGAGATTGGTATACGTGGTTTGAAGTGTCGAGGATTGGTGGCTGGTCCTTTCCTGGTTGTTGAATGACTCGCTTGATGGTGGTGTTTTTAGGAAGACCAGTTTTGCAGCATAATAAGTTCTCTTGATACCTTTGTCGTGTCTTCGTCTGACTGCCTCTTGTACTCATCGTTTGAGCGGTAAATTCATGAATACAGTTACCTTTGGAACTGTTTGGGTGGTTTTACTAGGACTCATTTCTTTAGAGGATTGGTGAACTTCTCAGGGCATCCATTCTTAGAAAAAATATCCTTTAAAGCCTTTATTTCATTTTCAATCAATTGTACTGTCAGAACAAATTTTTTCTTGCTCTTTTGATGAACAGTGTTTTGAGTAAGTTTTTTTTAATGCTGGACTGGAACAAGACTTTTAAAAAGTATGTACTGTCCCGTCCACGAAGACTTTCTATATGTTGATCTTTTGATTGTGCGATCAGTCGTTTTCACTAGAGAAACGTCTAGAAATTTGATACTACCATTTTCCTCGTGTTCTGTTAGGAAGTTGAGATTCAGATGGCATGAGTTGAATTTTATCAACAGGTCTTCAGTTTTTGATCTGCTTTCCGTTTGTTGTATATACTGTTGCAAAGTACACTTTTTCTAGGTCTGACAAGAATAAATCTGTGAAAAGTGGTCCCAAGGGGCTTTCCATTTTGACACCATCAATTTGATGGAATAGACGCCCATCGAATTGGAATTGGACATTTTTTGTGCATAAGAGCAACAATTTCCTCAATTCTGATGTTAGGATGGGTATATCTTCAGCTTCTCTATATATAAAATCAATATTCTCGCGATGACTGGAACATTTGTGAACAGGACAGTAACATCTAAAGAGAGCAGCTGCTTATCAGATACACTGACATCATTAATTTCCTTGACATAAAATGTATAAAGATCATTTGAGACCTACATGGCCAAATCTTTAATGTTTAACTGAATCATATTTGTGCTCTGAAACGAAGGAAGTCAGTAATTTCTGCGTATTATCAAGCAAACTGCTCAGTTTACAGAATGACTTGATCTCCGTGTGTTACCATAAAATATCTCCATGCTACTTCGTAAAAGACGAAAGAAACAGACGAAAAGGATTTGAAGAAGCCCTGAAAAATATTCACACGTGTCCTTTAGCATGATTAATTCAATGCAGTTTCTTTGCTTATGCCACTGGGACCCGACTCCTTAATGCACAGCGCATTAATTCTAACTTCTACCAATTCGTGATTTAGTGTGACTGTCACCAACCAATATCATCGGTGGGACGTCTATCCTCACACTTGACTGGACGGAGCTCACTGGCCACGACTTCTCACTAGAACTGCAGGAAACTCCGTGCTGTAGCAAGTCACTAGCGAGCATCAGATTAATTTTCTGTAGTTGGTTTGTAAGGACTAGATTTGTTTTTACCATATCCTGGGTTCGAATTCCAGTGGGTGCGTACTGCCGATGATTCCCAAACTAGGATGAAACAACTGTTCAGTGCTGGTTTTCAATGGTTCTCTAACTGATATCAATCCATAATCAACTCGTAAAAAACTGTTGTCTTTGATGAATTCAGTTCATATCTTCTCCTTTTTTCATATAAGAAAACCGCCCAAAACAAACCTATCTCAAGTAGTCTAGTCAAAAAATGTGTATAAAAGCATGGAGTAACTAATGTTATAAGTCGAGTCCCTTATTTGGTGCAGACTAAATTCTCTCAGTCAAGCTTACGATGTGACCACTAAGTGGCTAGGTGGCTCGCCATCACGGTACATTCAATATCTCAGAAGGGATAAGAGTTTTCTCAAGGTTGCAGGTACGCTTTACTGATGAGAGCCAACAAGAACAAAACCTAGGTCCAAGGCTTCCTGTTGATTGCCTGCAGTCATCTAACAACGACTCAGAAAATAATCTAATCCGACAAGTTATGAATTTTTCTTAACACCTGGAATAATTCACATGGATAGGAGTGATTGGAAATTTTTGAGGTCGAATCAGTCCGTCATAAAATGTTTTCAGGGTTGTATAATCACACCTGACATCACTGAGGTACTTAAATTTACTAATCGGTGGCACAGCGGTAGAATGCTCGCCAACCACGCCTCATATGGTCCGGGGTTCGATCCCCTGCCATAGACACACTCCTTTACCTCGCAAAACCAGTAATAAGACTGGTAAGGAGGGAAGGTTGGGCATGGGACTAGCAACCACATCCCGTGATAAATAAACACCACTGCTACCGAAACTTCGAGTCTCTAGCTTGAAGCCCTTTGTTCCACTGAGAATGTAAAGGAATAAAAAAAATCACAACTAAAATTTTTACTTATTTTTCAATATTTTAAACAAAATTATTGCAAATAAGCATAAAAGTATTCTACTGTCGTATATATTTCTTCTAGACAATGCGTATTCACATTATCGAAGGCGTCCACCTGCTCTACTGTCAAGTTCAAGACTTCTACTGAATCTGTGTAAATGCTTACGTCAGTGTATGCGCGTAACAGAGAATCTGACATTTCTGGAATTACAAAATCTTCCTATGAGTAGAGCAAGTCTATTGCAAATATGTGAAGTAAGTAGTCTGATTATAGTTTGTTTTGTGTGTGTGTATATATATGTTTGTCCGTTTGTGCATGCATGCGTGCGCATCTACTCATTAACGGGTAGTAATATCTGGAATATAACTTGAACTGATACATTTTTCTGCAAAATCCTACGCAAGTGAGTCCGGATGTATGTGTGTGTGCAATTGTCGTTCATTGGTCTAAGCACCTGGTTTTCAACCAGCCGGTCCCGAGTTCGAATCCTGTTGTACCCTCTTAAGTCTGAGCAGGTGAGTAGCACTGTCAGTCTTCACACAGTAAATGTATCTCCTAGTCTGGAAAATGAAGCCCTTGTTCTGAGTATTGTTGACTTTAAATAGTCGATAAAACGTCTCTGTACATAGACTTGTGTTAACTCAGCATCAGTGGAAAATTCATTCAAAGTCATATACATAGTATAAGATCAGGCTGTTCAAAAGGATATCGCTCAGCCTTCTTCATCCAGCCATAGATCTAGCAGTCGATAAGGAAATACCAGAGCTTAGTGTATAATAAGGTGAGAAGTATTGAGGTTGGGCTCCGGTCAGATGGTAGGGTTAGGGCTGTGAAGCAGCTGCATCGATTGAGATGGTTAGAACATGTGTTATGCATGCTTAGTCAGCCATCGCCTTCTTCGACAACGGGCAGTGTTAGCTGACTGACATAGGATGGATCAGGTTGGAAAAGAGGAAGCTAATGGTAGTCAAACGAACACAGCTTCATCAGTCAATGAAATCCACAACAGTTAGTTTTAGGCGGCCACGTCAGGAGATGTAGACTTCCTGGTTGGGGTCCTCGGAAAGTTAAGAACCAATGAAGGCTGGAAACAATTGGTGATATGGCTGAAAATCGTTCTCGGTGATGGCTGGCGCTGATGCATTCACTCTTTGAGATTTATCATATCGAATAAAACTCTAGTGTTCTTCCATATTACTCTTTTCTTGCCCTCACCCATGCTTCTGTTTATTATCTGTCTCCCTTTTGAGATTACCTTTACTCTCTTCTCTCGCTTTGTGTGCCGCGTGGAGTGTGGCAACTCCAGCTGGTGTACATCTATGCAAAGTTCTACATTGAATCCAGTCAGTCAGAACTTTGTGTTCAGAAACGTTTCAACCAACCTCTTTCTTCTGTTACCATGGCCGTGGTATCACTTTTATCCTCCGTAATTGTGGCATAATAAAATCTATGTAGTCCTTCTTATTTCTGTAACATGTTTTCAGTTCTTTGTTTTCTCGTCCCCTATCAGTTATTTCCAAATGACTAACCACCACTTAACTGACTGGTTGTCAATTCTCTCGATTACATAAGGTTATTCCTTGTTCTTCACTTATTGTTATTTCTAATACACGACTTATTTTGTATATGTCCAAACCAAGTTTACTTTTAACAGTTTGAAAAAATTTAGGCATTGGGTATTTGTGATGTTCATTATTATAAAAGTTTTTGTATTTCCCAGTGAATGAAAAACAAAATGATATCGTTGTTTTAACTGACATTTCACTATTTAGTGCTAATAGCTTCATCAAAGTATTATTATACCAGAGCCGGACAATATCAGAAGAGTACTCAGTAAGCACAAAATCAGAGTTTTCTTCAAAATATCAGACACACACACTACAAAGCAATCTTGTCCATTCAAAAGACCAAATTCCGTAAGGATTCTCAATCTAATTGTGTCTGCAAAATAAAATGCTTGGAATGTGCTGTGATGTGATATACATCGGACAAATATCGTCAGGAGAAATTAAGATCAGAGTGAGTGTCTGTTCGACCACCCGAGAAATCCGGTTGAACTAGAAAAACTTAAAAAATCATCAGATATAGATGGTCTACACGCTATAGAATCAGGGCACAAAATTGACTTTGACAATATTGAAATAATTCACATCAAATGGAATCCACGTTGTCTGAACCGAATAGGAATGATGGGCTAAAACAGAATTTGACCTGGTTACAACACCACACCCACTCCCCATGAAGTGACAAAATCAACACGAATGTGATAAGCAATTTCATTATGTAAACACACACTGCTTTTATAATTTTACACACTTATCAAATCCAACAATCTACACCTACCTGGTTTTGTTATCTTTACCGATTGGCCAATTTGACAACGCGAAAATGACCCCATGCTGAGGAACGATGATTGAGTTGTTGTATATAAGCTGAGATTTTGTAAATTCTGGTTTAATAATACTACTCTGATAAAGCTGTTAGCTGCATTAAATAGCAAAAACGTCAGTAAAAACAATGACAATATCGTTTTGTTCTTCATTCATTGGGAAATACAAAATCCTTTATAATAATGAACACCGCATATACCTCAAGCTCAAATTTGATCAAACTGTTGAAAGTAAACTTAGTTTGTACATATATATATATATAATATTTACTGACAAGCCGTCAGCAAAGAAAAGATGGGTGCATGGCATTGTATAATTGTCGCTTTCCCTCCGGCGTTCATTATCCTGGACGAGATCGTCTCCCATTGTTTTAGGGCCTTCGTTGCCGTTGGTGACATCATAATAGAAACACCATTGGTGTACTCGTGGTTGTCTTCTAGGTGACCGGAGTAGATCACTGACTCTCCCGTTGACAATTTTCTGAGTCCACTCCCGCCTGCTTTCGCATATTTCCAGGACTTGAATACCGTATCTTTTCATCTCATTTGTAATCTGGGCAGCTTTGCCAGTCTCATACATGGTGCGGACGTTTCATCTCCCCCTACAAACTATTTCTTTTGTCGCAAGAAGACTAATCGTACTGAAGTTTCTGTAGTAGTTTTTGTCTGCAGGATGGGGTTGTCAGCCTCATGCCTTAGAAAGAAAAGATGGAAACGAGTGTTATTCAAGGCTTTCTTCCGATTAATTTTATGCTTTCTTATAAACAAACGAATAAAAGATAGACTTCGTCAGAGCAGCGTATCACTTTATCATATGACTACTATACTATCTTGTAGGTATTATCGATAGATTTCCATCTGCTCTTATCACCAGACATGACATATACGCTCTTTTGATATGAAACTGGTAAATATTAAAACCAATCTCTTCATAGAGATTTAGAATAAATATTACTCTTATTCTAAATAAATTAGGCATAATTATAGTAATAATAATAAATTCATAGCGAAATATCTTACAGTAAAGGTCCGCTCATTTACCCAATAACTAAACGGAAGAATCATCGACTAAATGAAGTCATGCAAAACCTACAGCAGTGTTTGAGAGGGAGGGAGCGCGGATAGAATATCTGTACTGTCATAAATACAACAGATGTACTTACATTTGTTCAGTTATATATACGAAAGAAATATAACTTTATTCTCCTCGTAAATTTATTAGATTTAAAGTCACATGTCAAATTCTCGTGTTTATTTTGTACATATTTTGAGCATACCTACCTGAATTGAGGGTGTGTGTGTACTAAAGCTTGATTCTCTTGATTCCCTGTTTCGGAATTCAAAAAATGCGGTTTATTTTTTATCTCAGTGCACTGGATGATGAGACAATCCTTGAGGAGCGAGAAGGTAGGCATACATTGGAATGACGAAAAAACATCCCATCAGGTCATGCAGTGACACAGTGTGACAAAGTGTCAAACCTACAAACTCACTTAGATAGGACAAGCTCTGTAGGCTAAAAGATCCGGCAGACTCAGTTAAGCAAATAATATAACTTACAAAATACCTTGCAATGACTGTGAGTGAGGTCAACTACATAGGTCAAACCAGTAGGTCGGGGACAGTCAGATTGTCGGAACATAAGAATTTAGCTAAGTTAAGAATGATTGACCCAGAGAAGATAAGTAATTTAGAAAAAAGCTCGCATGCATTAACACACAGCTACACAATAGGGTTGGAGAGTGTTGAAATTCTAAAAGGTAATATGGGTAGGTGGAAAGAGAGAGATTGATTACTGAATCCTGCATGGTTCATCGAGTTTACACCCAACATAACACATGCAACAGAAATGGCTCAATGCAAATACCAGAGATATGTATAGAAGATATCACCACTAGTTAGCCAAATTAGAGGAGGATAATAAGTAATCTTAAAATTCTATTTCAATTCACATACATTAATTATAACATTGTAACAAGTTACTTATTTTGGCTATAAACACACTCGTCTTATTCCCCATCTGATTGTATTTGATCAATAACACTCATGTTATTATATCTGAATGTACATTATCTCATATTGATTTTTATTCGAATGTCTGATCGTCGGTGGCATAGCGGTTAGGACGCTCGCCGACCATGCATATGGTCCGGGGTTCGATCCCTGGCCGGCGCACTCCTTTACCTCACTAAGCCAGAAATAAAGCTGGTGAAGAGGAAAGGTTGGGTATGAGGCTAGCAACCCCATCCTGTAAAAATAAACACTGCTACCGAAACTTCAAGCCTCTAGCTTGAAGCCCTATTTTCTACTGGGAACGTGAAGGAAAAAAATATTAATGAAGCAAGAAAGTTGTGTGAGTGACTTGAGATGATTATCGGTGGCAATAAATTGTGCTCGAAACGTGGTCATAAGTTAATATTATTTTATAACATAGTGTTATTTATCAAAATAAAATCTTATCTATAATGAAGTTATACTCTACAACCACATTGACCAAGTTTTATACTTATAGCAATTAACTAAACATAACTTCGAATTCTTCCTCCCCAAATTTGTCTTAGGAGTAGTAGAATCTTCCAGATGTCTGAGACGAATACTGACTGCCATCCAGAGATATGACGCTTTAGTTATCAGTCTGAATCCCAACACTGTTATGTTAAATTTTAATTCTTTCGCTTCGTTCCATCCTATTGTATACCCGTATGCAGCTGCATGTATTTCTAAAGTCGAACCATTTTCTAGATTTCACTAAGTTTTTGTGCCCTACTAATCTGATTGAATAAAGCAAGAACGATAAATGCACCAGGACAATCTCAGCTCAATTTTTAATTTTTATTATTTCATGGATTCTTCTCAACCGGCTAC